TTGGCACTACTAAAAGAAAACCAGGATCCTGGAACAGACCAGGAGATCTGGAGTCTATTCCAAAATTTGTAGCTAAAACTGTCTAGTTAGATAATTTCACCATTCTAGGTCTCCCTGAAATTTTGTCATTTTACTGACTCAGGATTTCCACTTCTGATTAGAATGGAGAAAGCTACATGACACCAACAGTTATCCTATATAAAGCCACAGGATGAATAAGCTACAAAAATCTCGGTTAATAAAACCAGCACTGAGGATGCAAAGAAACCTAGGTAAGCAGAAGTCCAGAAAATGTAAACCCCTTCGGAGAAGGGACATTAGACTGAGTGGTTGAGAGCCTGCCACCTTCCAGCACTTAGAAAGTTGAGGGAGGAAGATCATGAGCGCAAGGTCAACCTGGGCTACATTCACAGTGAGGCTAAGGCTAGCCTGAGGTATGGATGCAGACCTGTCTCAATGCTCCTCACTATCCCCACCCCACCCCCAAAACAACCTCGGCTATTCTCATTCCTGCCAAGTAGCAGGGGAACAAGAAATTCTCCACTGACAGGATTTTTTTTTGGGGGGGGGGGTTGACTGTAGGGCTTGAACTCAGGTGCTGTCCCTGAGCCTCTTTGTGCTCAAGGCTAGCACCGTACCACTTAAGTCACAGTGCCACTTCCAGTTTTTGAGAAGTTAATGGGAGATTAAGAGTTTCCGGGGACTTTTTTGCCTAGGCTGGCTTTGAACCGTGATCCTCAGATCTCAGCCTCCTGAGTAGCTAGGATTACAGGCGTGAGCCACCAGTGCCTGGCAGAAAAGGCAAACTTTTAATGAACATTTAAGGCTGCATGAGGCCTTAAAACAACCTGTAAGTCTCACTTGCCAACTCTTTTGCCACAGGTTTTTAGTGAGTGCAGAAAAACAGACCAGCTGGGTGCTGGTGGCTCATTCCTGTAGTCCTAGGTGCTTGATCTGAGAATCATGGTACAAAGTCAGCCAAGGCAGGAAAGTCCATGAGACTCTTATCTCCAATTAACCACCAGAAAACCAGAAGTGGCACTGTGGCTCAAAGCCCTAATCTTGAGCAGGAAAAAAAAAAAAAAAAAGCTTAGGGGCCGTGTCCAGGCTTCAAGCGACGGACGTACGGACGGACAGATGGACATTTCTCAGGCATACTATTCACTTGTGAAGTACTCAACAGTCACACATAGTTGGCTACTAGTTCACTGGACAGCACAGAACATTCCATGATCACAGAAAGTTCTACTGGACAGCGATTAGATCCTCGTCTTTCAGAAGGGCCAGTAGGAAGAACAAATCACAAGACCTGAGTTTTCCAAATCAGTAGGTTAACAGCTGAGCAACCAGATATTACCTCTTCTCAGGGCTTCTCAGATTGAATGTGCAATTAAATCACCTGAGAACTTCCTGAAACAGCAGAGTCTAATTCAGTCGGTCTGAGATGAGGATTCTGCACTTCTCACAAAAACCAAAGTGAAGTTAATACCACTGGTTTGGGAAATCTCATTTTCAGTATCAAGGTCTAGCTCTGGCCTCAGTTTCCTTCATTGTCAAATGATGGGTGAAACACAATTACATTCATGACCCGTATCAGTCATGCACACTATTTTATTTTACTTCATTAGGTTTCTGAACACTGAACAATAAAATCACCCCCACTTCAGGCCAGTTGTGGAGTAATACAACAGCCTACAAAGCAGGCTGCAGCTGCTGACAGCAGTAATACGTACAGGATCACTTTTGCCCTGGATTCAGAGCCAGTCTGGGCAACACAGTCATACTCCAGTCTTTAAAAAGCAAGACACAAACACCACCACCAGAGGGGCACACTGTGTTTTACAAATCCACAACTCATGGAGTCCCTACCATCTCTACCCTGAGGATATCAGCTTCCCCGGGAAAGCAGCTGCCTAGAAAAGGCTATCAAGTATAGTAATGAGCTTCTATTTGTAAAGTCTTGAGGCTCTGAGCCATAAAACTGACCAAATCCCCGTACTACATGCAGACAGCAGTTAGTGGACCAGCGCACAGCACAGGCGAAGGAGCCGACAGTACGGCTAACAATGCCACAGAACAGACTTCAGACTCAATTTCAACAGGGCCTTCTAAATAACAAGGTTCAAATGGGCAACACAACAGGTAAATGGATAGCCAGAGTGATGGCTCAGTTTCATAAAGCAATACCTTGAGAAAGGCTGCTTTTTAAATCCTATACCATGTTCAATAGTTAATAACCTATATTCTTAAAAAACGCTCCACTGGAAATATATGTTCAACTTCTAAACCACCTACGTATCTTTGGTTCTTTTATATTTATATTTCCTTTAGTAGGAGATATTTTTTCGAGTCTGAATTAAACTGTATTAAAAATTCTCTATGTAGAGAATGTAATGTAATTTTAAAACATCTACAACGATAATCATATTCACATTGTCTACAAGACTTCTTAAATGACTTTCAGAAACTAAACACCACAAATAAAATGTAGGCACTCGGCACAGGGGTAGAGAAGGTTCTCCCCATTATTTTTCATCTTCTTCTCCCCTCAATCTCATGCTCAGCCGATTTGTCCAATGTTGGCCTTTTGAAAATCACTCAAAGTTATCTTATTATTTAGTTTAATTTAAAACTTTAATTTGGAACTGTATATTCAGCTTGCCTCTCCCAAAATGAAAAGACTAAAACTGTTCCCATAACAATCCCTATTTCAACTTGTTTTTATTCAGACAGAAAATTCGTAAGTATAATAACACAGTACACGCATGTTTTAATAATTCCATCAGTGAAATGCTTGTTTTACAGATCTATCTGACTAAATATTAAACTGGCAGCACTCTGATACACTGCTTGAAAAACCGGTAATTTCTAGATATTACAGAGACAAATTTTACACACAAAAGAAAAACATAAGGTCAATTTCTACCAACAGGAGAAAGTATGTCCCATATAAATAACCTGGAACAAACAAGTCTCTCTTAGTAGTAGCCAAAGAACGGCTAGTATCAAATATTTAATTTCAACAAATGACCATCAATTTGATTTACCTTTCTGCTCAGCCAATGTTACACAATCCCACCTGTAGGGTAGATGCCCCAGCCTTTTACAAGGCAATTTAAGAAGTTACTACTTCAACAACAACAACAAAAAAAACTAAAGAAAAGGAAAGGAAAAAAAAAAAAAGGAACTACTGTTTCTCTTCAGAGCAGAGGAAAATTATAATAAGAACACAAACATTTTAGCCTATCATTAAAAAAAAAAAAACTAAAAAAAAAAAAAAAGAGCCACGTAGCAGTCCCAGGCCGGGTGAGTCACCCGCGGCGCTCGGCTCCCCCCACCCAGCCCCAGCCCTGGGCGCTGCCGAGTCAGCAGACCTCCCCAGCTCGTTGGGGAGGAATTCTCACGAGGCCTGCGTGAACTTAGGGGATAATGCACCGACACTTCCAGTGCTAACACTTGTCACGACACGACGCACTCTTCCACTCGCAAAAATGCTTTTGTTAACCCACAGATGTGTGTTTTTTAATCACAGGCAGAGCAGGCAGGCTGCCTCTACCCCTCAACGCCACTCCAGAACGTCTCCAGCATTTATAGTTTGTGTTTGAACTATTCTCCACCTTGCAGGGCTTTCCTCTGAATGGTAACCTCCAGGGGCTGAAGCAGCTGGCCTGTTTCCTAGACGGCTGCCAGGGTCGGATGTACAAGGAGAGCAGTGAGCAAGTTTGCATTAACTGCTGTAATGTACCTGGGCAGGGACTCTGGACCTTGGCACGGAGGAAACGTGTCGGAACAAATACCGGCTGAAGGCACCCTTTCTCAACTACGAAAAGCTGACATTTCTACGGAGAAGCGAGGGTGGGCGCCTAGTCAGGTTGTTCCCCTGACATTCTCCCCATCCGATCCTTCATCTGTTTCCCAACGTTAGACACGGAAGCGGAATTTAAAATTTAAAAGTAAATAAGTAAAATAAAACACGCTTAAACCACCACCGCTGGATTCCGCAGCTCTCCACGGGGGATGATGACCCGCGGGGGTCTTCCCTCTGGGACAGATCATCCCAACTTCACCCCGGGGACTGACGGGCATTGTTCCCGAGGACTCGCGAACCGGCTGCTAATCCGGCTAATTCCAGCGTCCCAGCTCCCCGCGCGGGGGGGGGG